ATCCTCACAAGCATTTGGTTTTATATTTTGGGCTTTGGCCATTCCAATAGGTGTGTGATAGTATCTCGTTGTTGCTTTAATTTGCAATTTCCTAATGAGAAATTGAGTGATAACGAGCAGCCTTTCATATGCTGATTTGCCATCTCTGTGTCTTTTTGGATGAAATGTTCAGGTCCTTTGCCCATTTTTTAATTGGCTTGTTCACTTTTTGTTGTTGAGTTTTTAAGAGCTTCCTGTATATTTTGATAAAAAGACTTTTAGCAGATATGACTTTTGTAACTATTTTCTCCCAATCTGTGGCTTGTGTTTTTGTTCTCTTGACAGTATCTTTCACACAGTAAAAGGTTTCATTTTAATAAAATCCAGCTTATCAATTATTTCTTTCCTGAATCATGCCTTTGATATTGTATTTTAAAAGTTATTATCATGTTCAAGGTCATCTAGATTTTCTATGTTCTCTTCTGGGAGTTTTGTATTTGTGCATTTTGCATTTAGTTCTATGATGCATTTTGAGTTCATTGTGAAAGGTGCAAGGTCTGTGTCTAGATTCATTTTTCTGCATGTGAACTTTGAACATTTTTAAATTGGGCTGTTTTTCTTGATTATTGTTAAGTTTTAAGAATACCTTATATATCTTAGCTAAAGAGACCCTCATCTGATATGTGATTTGAGAATATTTTCTCCCATTCTGTAGGTTGTCTTTTCACTTTTTTGATAGTGTACTTTGAAGCGCAAAAGTCTTTAATCTTAGTAAAGCCTAATTTGACTGTTTTTTTTTTTTTCATTTGTGAATTTGGTGTTGTAGCTAAGGAATAATTGCCTAATCCGAGATCAAGAAGACTTATTCCTATGTTTTCTTCTGAGCTTTACAGACTCTTATATTTAGGTCAATTGCACATTTTGAGTTAGTTTTTATATATGATGTGAGGTACTGGTTCAACTTCGTTCTTTTTCATGTGGGTATTTAGTTGTTCTGGCACAGTTTATTGAAAAAAAAATTTTTTTCTCTTGGCACCCATGTGCCTAGACAACCAATCTAGACAATTTGTTTTTGGACTCTCAGTGATATTCTACTGATCTGTATGTCCATCCTCATACCAGTATCAAACTGTCTTGACTATAGCTTTGTAGCAAGTTTTGAAATTGAGAAGAGTGTCCTCTACTTTTTCATCTTTAAGATTGCTTTGGTTATTCTGAGTCCCTTGAATTTTCATATGAATTTTAGAATCAGTTTGTCGATTTCTGCCAAGAAATAATCTGGGATACTGATAGAGATTGCATTGAATCTGTAGATCAGTTTGAGAAGTAATGCCATCTTAATAATATTAAATCTTCCAATTTATAAACATGGAATGCTTTTAAGTCTTTTTACATATCTTTCAACAATGTTGTATGGCTTTTGGACTAAATTTTACACTTAAAAAAAAATTATCAGCCGGACTCGGTGGCTCAGCCTGTAATCTCGCGCCTTTGGGAGGCTGAGGTGAGTGGATTGCCTGAGCTCGCGGGTTCAAGACCCGCCTGGGCAGCGAGACCTCATCTCTACAATAAATCAAAAAAACAGCCGGTGTGGTAGTGTATGCCTGTAATTCCGGCTACTCGGAAGGCTGAGGTGGAAGGATCGCCGGAGCCCAGCAGGTCGAGGCTGCGGTGGCCGGGAGCGGCCACTGCACTCCAGTCTGGGCGACGGAGTGAGACTCCAACTCAAAAAAAAAATTTAAAAAAAAAAATCTTTGATGTTATTTTAAATGAGGTTGTTTCCTTAATTTCATTTTTTGATGGTTCATTGTTAGTGTTTAGAAACACAATTGACGCTTATATATTGATCCTATATCCCAAAACCTAGCTGAACTCATGTATTAGTCCTCGTAGGTTTATTTTTTATGGATCACTTTGCACTACTGTCCTACTTGTGTCTGAATTACAGCATCTGTGATCATTTTTCAGTTTCTCTAACATGCAACCCCCCCTTGTCACAGAGCCTTTGCTCATGCTGTTTCTTCTGTCTGGATCTCACCCTTCTTCTGATTTTCCTCTACCTGGTAAATTCATCCTTCAGTTCTATCTTCCTGAGCGGCTACCACCTTATTCCACAGGTCTTCTCTTTTTGCAAGCCCTGCCAGTACTGTGTTTCTCCTCAATATTTACTTAGCCTTCCTTGTGTTATATTTTGACCCAAGTCATTTTCCTCATCAGATTATCAGCCCCTGTTTTCTCACTATTATAATCCTCAGCATCTACATAGTACCTGGCACTTCAAAGAGATACTTAACAAGCAGTTGAATGAATGAATGAAAGAAAGGAAGGAGGGAGAGAGGGAGAGAGGGAGGGAGGGAAGAAAGGAAGAAAGAAAGAAAAAGAAAGAGAGAAAGAAAGAAAAGTTAGCTTTGGGAAAATACAGCCGTTGTTAAGAAATTTGGGACGGAAATAGGGGCAAATTGAAGGTGGGGCACATACCACATACAATCTGTGTAACCAATATGACCTTCTTCTGGAGAATTACATTCCAGAATGGAATGCGATTGTCTTGAAAGAGCAGAGGCATTGGGGGTGTAGCCAGCACCATTTCTTCTTCTTCCTCCTCCTCCTTTTCTTCCTCCGCCCCCTCCTCCCCCTTCTTCTTCTCTCTCTCTCTTTTTTTTTTTTTTTCCTACTGAAGTTCCCTGTCTGATGGTGGAAAACCCAAAAAGAAAAATCAGCCATCTGAGTCATTTGTAGATGAATAACCCCGTTTGACTTCATGTTTGCTTCTTACCTTTCCTGAGGTACAGCTGACTTATGGGGGCGGGGGAGTCAAGGAAGGGGGAGTTGAAAAGACTTGTTTATTTTCCTTGCCAAATTAATTCACTCTGACAAAATAGGGAAATCCCCAACCAGCTGTTCCAGTGACTAGCAAGAAAAATATTCCCTTGGAACACTCTGAAAGAAGATATACTTTGTGTTTTGGCAGTCTTTAAAGAATGCTCTAGAGCCTTCCATTTACTGCCCATCCTAAATGCTTTCTAAATATCAGTGACAATAGTTGGAACACGATTGAGTTTTGTTTTGCTTTTTTTTTATAGTCAGGGCCTCTCTGTTGCCCAGGTTGGAGTGCAGTGGCACGATCATGGTTCATCACAGCCTTTAACTCCTGGGCTCCAGCAATCGTCCTGCATCAGCCTCCTGAGTAGCTGGAACTCCAAGTACATGCCACCATGCCTGGCTAATTATTTTTAAAGTTTGTGTAAAGACAAGGTCTCACTATGTTGCCCAGGCTGGTCTCTAACTCCTGGATTTAAGTGTTTCTCCTGCCTCAGCATCTCAGTGTGCTTGGATTAAAGGCATGAGCCACCATACCTGGTTGTTTTTGTTTGGTTGGTTGTTTTTTCTTGATTGGAATATGCTTAAAAGTCTGGGTTGAACTCTGGTGCTTTAGTGGCAATATAAATCCCATGGAAACAGGTGAAAGGTTGAGGGAGGCATAAAACCCAGGGAAGAGCAGCTCAGGAAAATGGAGTTCACTGAGGTGGGCCTGCAGCTTTGCTGGTGTGTGATGAGCTTCCTGTCCTATTCTTGGAATCCATGTTCTAGTTTTTAGGCCAGATAGAAGGAAAATGTTTGCATTTTGGGAAGTAGACATTTTCCACTCTGAGATGTTCCTTACACATCTGAAATGGTGTTCTCCTCCAGGGGTTTTGAGACCTTATAGACATGGCGAAGCATTTAATGATGAAACCATAAGACCATCGTGGTAGAGACCACACTACCTTATATTTCCATTACGCACCACAGTGCCTGGCCCAGGGTAGGGGCTCAGCAAAAACTGGACAGCATGTCTTAAGACAGTGCTCACCAAACTAGTGTTGCAAATTAGATTTTACGCCCTGTGAACTAAGTTCATTTCCTATGATTTTAATTTATCTTTATGTTTATCCCCACTTCTGTCTTCTATGTCACAGGGCACAAATATTTAGAGTACTTAATTTTTAGTTATTCGAGGTAGGTAATTAAGTATGAATAAATTCCACAAGCATATAAATCAAAGAATTGATTTGCTGTCAATAAAATTGGAAAGAAAATGATTCAAAAGTGGAAAACATAACTTACTAGATGTGTTTTCTAGCTTCCTTGTCAAAGGAAAGTTTAAAACACAAGGAGTTTATATTGAAACGAGAATGGAAAGTAAGTTTATGAAAGTACAGTTCTCAGAAACACATTTACTTTCTTAGGCTAACGGATGAAAGTAACTACCATTCAAGAGCTTCCCTCTCTTATCTTCCCTCCTATTTCCGAATTCCTCTATAATAATGAAACAGAATCACAATTTGAGTTCTTTCTCCTGAATTTTTCTAAACCCTATCAGGAATATTGATGTGAAGTATCTTAGACTTGAACTTGTTGAGGACTTCTGGGCAAGTTTTCAGTTGCTTCCTAACAAAGTTATCTGGGAAAAAACGGTAAGATACCTCTAAATTGGGATGACCTGACTTCAAGAATTTACAAATTGTCACATCTCTAAATGGGTCAAGATCAATGAACTTGAATTTTTTTCCTTAGATTTCCTCTACTCTCAAAGCGGTGCCTGTTATTTAGATGCTATTTTGATTCTATAAATATTCATTGAGCATTGACTGAAGTACTCTTCTAGATTCTGGGAAAAGAGGAATGACTAAGGTCCAAAGCTTCTGTTCCCATGGAGTTTATGTCGGGTAGAGCTTATTATTTCCACCACAGTAAAATGAAATAAAAACCGTACGTGTCTCATAGGGTTGCTCCGAGGATTCAGTGACAGGGTAGGAGGGAGGGGAAAGGCAGAGAAAAAAACTGAGAAAGAAAACATCCACTGGCTTTTCCAAGATCTTGCCAATATACAAAAAACTGGACCTCAAAAAACTGGAATTTATTTTAAAAATGTGTGTTTATTCTTACATGTTTAAACTTCAGTCACCTTCAAAGTACCCTTTGATGCAATGCACCTATCAAGATGCTTCTCCACCGCTCAAAACAGTTTTTGAACTCATCAATCTTGATTCCTTTTAATGCTTCTCTCTTTTGTTACACCTCTTCCACATAGGCAAAAACATTTCCCTCTGAGGACTTTTCTTCATCTGGAGAAACAAAAGAAAGTCACTTGGGGCAAGATCAGGTGAAAAGCAAGGGTGAGGCACAGGTGTCATGCTGTTGTTTTTTTTTTTTTTAATCAAAAACTGCAGAACACTCAGCACAGTGTGGGCAGATGTGCTCATAAATCACCCATCATGAAATGGGCAAAAGTACTAAAGAAGGACCAAAAAAAAAAAAAAAATTCATTGAAGCCAAACGCAGCTTCTTCCAACAATACTAGCATGTACACTCATGCCGATGGGCTCCTAGAACACGTACCTGTCGTGGGAGGCCTGTATTACAAGGGGCCTGCCCTCCAAAAAATAATTTCATTTTGGGGGGGATTCACCCCCTCATATGGACCTGAACATATGTAGCATACACATATATAACCATTTCTATTCGGATGCAGAAATGAATGTATGATTTTAGGCTGCAAGGAAGGAAGTGGTAAAAAGAAAAAGTGTTGAAAACATGAAGGAAAGGAAAAAATGCAATCAAGGGCATAGGAGAGATTAACCATGATCAGGGAACAGAATTGTGACTCCAGATGTCACAGGAAGAAGAGTCTTGAGTGGAGAGACTGAAAGTATGCTTATGTAAGCAGGCCCTGGAAAAGTGTCATTTAGAGTGAAGGGTAATACTGTGTGATGCCTCTGAGATATTTACCTTGCTAATTTATATGGTATGAGGCTTTTTACCATGGAAGTAATTTAAATACCCATAGAAACAGTACATCATTGTTTCTCAAAGTTTAATCCCAAGACCATCTGCATCATATAACCTTGATACTTGTTAAAACTACGTGCTCCTAAGCCCCATAGCTGGTGCCTCACAATAGAATCTCTGGAATTTGGATTTAGAAAGCTTCTCTTTTTTTGTTGTTGTTGTATTTTGGTAAAATACACTTAACATAAAACATCATTTCAAAGTATAAATTCAGTAACATTTAGTAACAATGTTGCAAAACTATCATCACTATGTAGTTCCAAGGATATTTTGTCACCCCAAAAACAAAGCCCATGAAGCAGTCAGTCACCCCTTACCTCCCCCCAGTCTCTGATAACTACCAATCTGCATTCAGTATCTATGGATTTTCTTATTCTGGATATTTTTTACAAATGGAATTATATAATATGTTACCTATTGTTCTGGCTTTTTTCTCTTAGCATAAGGATTTCAAGATTCATCCATTTGTATCATAAATCACAAATCACACATTATTAGGACTGAATAATATTCCATAGTATGATATACAGAATTTTGCTTATCTAGTCACCAAATAATAGATTATCTAGGTTGTTTCTTCCTTTTGTCTATTGTGAATAGTTCTATAAACATTTGAGTACAAGTGTCTGTTTGAACTCTTGTCTTCCATTCTTTCGTTTGTATACCTAGAAATGGAATTGGTAGGCCATATGGTAATCCAGTGTTTAACTTATTCAAGCAATGCCAAATGTTGTGGACAGTGGTTATACCACTTTACATTCCCACCAGCAACATATGTGGTTTCAATTTCTGCACATCCTCAACACTTGTTATATTCCATTTTTTAAATTATAGCCATCCTAAGTGAGTGTGAAGCAGTATTTTATTGTGGTTTTGACTTGCATTTCCCTAATGATTAATGACATTGAATATCTTTCCATGTACTTGTTGGCATTAGATTATCTAGTTCTATTCACATCCTGTGAAAATTTTTTAACTGGGTTCTTTGTCTTTTTGTTATTGATTTATGGGAGATTTTTATTTTTTCTGGATACTAGACCCTTGTCAGAAATACGATTTGCAAATATTTTCTTCCATTCTTTTCACTCTGTTGGTAGCGTCCTTTGATGAACAAGTTTTTCATTGTGATGAAGTCCAATTTATCTATTTTTGCTTTTATTGCTTATAGAAAACCACCCAAGTTGATTATGATTTTTATGATTATAATTGTTATACTGAAACAACCAACATTGCACTGAAAGTATTACCAAAATATTATCTGTTAAAGATAACATATTCATAACAGCTAGATTTGCTTTAAGTGTGCATATTTAAGAGTACCAAAAAAAGTACACACATTTATTCACCTGTTTTTCAATTAAAGCATATTTTTGTTAGCATAAGTATCGGTTCCACATTAATTTTGATTATAAATAAATATCATGCATTACTTAGAAGGGTTAAAACAGAAATAAAAAGCTTTTAAGTACAAACTGGCCACAGTAATTACCTGTTATAGTTTCATTGGTCTAAACATTTACTTTTATATAATCTGTTTGTATTTTACTCACCAAAAATGTATTGAGTATCTACCATATGCTGAACAATGTGTCAAGCACTCAAGATAGAAAGCTAAAGACATGATCTGTCCTCCTGAATCTCACAGTCTTACAGGACATGAAAACATGGGAGCAGGAAATATCACACTACACAGGAAATTTCTGTAAGAGAAGAAGGCCACTGTCACAAAAGGAAAAATTCCAAACAGTATTCTTTAAGTAATAGAAACTCAAAAGAGGTATTTGGACAAGGGAATTCCACAAACTAACTGAATGTTTCAAAACATCATTCTGGCAGCAATGAAGCAGTGCAAGAGTAGACTGTGATATCAGTAAGCATGGGTATTTTGGCAATGAATTCTCCCCATGTTGTTGTGTTCAGCCCTTAGAAATATTCTAAAATGCTTCAGATGTTGATATGAGGTGGGTTTTCTTAAACGTTTATTATAGAAAGTTTGAAACATATATAGAATCCTTCCTTGTACCCTCAGCACAGCTTCGAATGTTGTCAAAAACAGGGCAGGTCTAAAAAAAAGGGTGGGTCTCATTTCATCTATGCCTCAACCCCTCTTTCCCAGATATTTTGACTCAGATCTCAGGCATCATATTATTTCACCTGTAAAAGCTTTTAATGAAACCCCAACATGTAAGTACTCTTTTATAAACTCTAGCTCCATACCATTATCCTGCCTAAATAAGGTTTATAATAATAATTTCTTAATGGTATGAAGTTTTTAAAACACAAGGATTGATATATATTCACATATAAATTTTTGTCTTATTTCCTACAAAGAATTTTTTTCCTTAATACGTTTGGTAGGGGATTTAGGGGTGATCACGTTACTTTTTTTTTTTGAGACAGGGTCTCACTCTGTCACCCAGGCTAGAGTGCAGTGGCACCATGATGGCTCACCACTACTTGACCTCCTGGGCTCAAGTGATCCTCCCATCTCAGCCCCCCCACTACTGGAACTACAGGCGCATGCCAACATGCCCGGCTAATTTTTATTTATTTGTTTATTGATTTTGTAGAATGCGGTCTCAGTCATTATGTTGCCCAGGCTGGTCTCAGACTCCTGGGCTCAACCAATCTTCCCACCTCTGCCTCTCAAAGTGCTGGGATTACAGGCATGAGACACCATGCCCAGCCTCAAGTTTCTTAAAAACCAAACTGATGCTTTTAAAAATACACACAAGTTATATAGCTCCCAGAGCCAGATTAGTCATTAGCTCTTCTACTAAGTGTGTGTTTAGCAGGGAAGTTGCTGCTTTATTTGTTATATACTCATAGTTGAAAATAATGTGCATAAACTGAGCTGTTGAGAAATTTAAGCTTTGAGTTTTTTTTCCGATAATAATTCCTCACATTGATGTCATGCCTTAAATTTTCCAAAGTACTTTCCTGCCTATTATCTAGTGAACTTTGAGAGTTCTGCTGTTCAAAGATGTCTAATGTTTACAATTGTTATCAATTTTACTTTGTTGCGGCTTTTGGGTTTGGAATGAAATAATAAACAGTATATGCAAAATCCTCTGCTTGTGAGCCAAGAAAGACTTTGTAGTCAAGCCTGCATTAGTGATGAAAGGAAATAAGTTAACATATTATCAGTTACAATTTACTTAATTTTCTATAGTATGGGAATAGTTGGCATTTATGCACACACATACATACATGCGCGCGCACACACACATATATAAAGATTTTAAATCCATGATAATTATAGATCAGCATTTTCCATGGACTCAAAACCTACCCATAAATTTCCTGAACCGCTTAGAAAGTATTGTAGTAAGATTAAGAAACATGACAATGAATTAGGACAGGGTTTAGGGCTGAAATATGCTGATAGATCACTCTTAATTGATGTTTTATCCTTTTTGATCATTTCTTCCATTTTTGTTACCATTCCCAGACATGCACCCAACAAGGTTATCTTTAAAACATTCTGCAGCAGAAGAGCTTAGTATCTGCTAACCAAAGAGATTGACAAGTGGGATATTTAATATAGAATCTTTTTTTAAATTGTGGTTATGTATACAATTCAGGGTTATGTATACAAATATTCACTGTGCAGGTACCCTTGTTGATGAGGTGTGCCCCCGCTTTCCCAGGCAGATATCAACTACTGTCAATCTAATATAGATTCTTATTCTTTACTTGCAAAATATAGAAAACATAAGTGCTCTTTAAACGTAGTGGAAACCTGCCTTATGATTAGAAAGAAAAAAAGAGGTCAAGACCTTGTGTTCCAGAGTAGTACAAACCCAAGTTTTGGAAGCACTGGATGTGGGTAAGCCTTGTAGCCTCTCTCTGATTCAGGGTCTTCTAGTGACATACTGGGGTCTATTTTACCTGCTCCCAAGAGCTGATTGTGAAATATGTTAGAATGTTGCAAACCAGTGTATAACCCTTTGTTGCTTGAAATCAGCCAAGGTGGCAGTGTTTATACCATAGAAATCAGTAAACTCTGACAATCAGCGTTCCCTCTCCATCTCCTGGAGCTGGTTTACCAGCTCACCACCGCCTACCAGTTAGATAGTTTTGAGGATAGAATGACTTAGTTTGTGTAAAACACTTTGTCTAGTGCTCCTCATACAGAAAGCAGTCGATAAATGCTCGCTATTATTGTTGTTATCATTATTATTTGCCATTGAAAATAAATGCAACCAAATTTCGTTGTCTTATTTATCAAATTTTAAATCATCTAGGTCCTATGTGTGTTTGTTTGTTGCCTTAATTTGACAATTTTTGCATACAAGGAAATATGTTCAGACATAGAAAAAATGAAAATCTTATCAACTTGTCATGCTTATGAGTTATTCTTGACCAAAAAAAAAACCTGCTTAGAGAAATAAAAGAACGAAAATTGTGGAAAGAATGAAAATGGGATTATGTCTAAATTCAAAATGTTCACTATACTTTTGTCTTTCATGAAATGGCTCACTAAAATTTCATTAGAAATAGCAAATGGAAAAACAAATAATTTTTAACACTTGGTAGAAAAATATGACAATTCTGGATTTCTATAACAAATAATAGAATTCCTGACTGTACACGGTGGCTCATGCCTGTAATCCCAGCAATTAAGGAGACCAAGGCATGAGGATTGCTTGAGTCTGGGAGTTTGAGACCAGTTTGGGCAATATAGTGAGAAATTCTCTCTACAAAAAATAAAAATAAAAATAAATTATCTGGGCGTGGTGGCATGCTCCTGTAGTCCCAGCTACTCAGGAGACTGAGGAGGGAGAATCGCCTGAGCCCAGCCTGAGCCCAGAAGGTCGAGGCTGCAGTGAGCTGCTATTGTGCCACTGCACTCCAGCCTGAGTGACACAGTGAGACCCCAACTAAAAAAAAAAAAATCCTGGCACAAATTAACTTAGGCAGAAAAGGGACTAATTGCTTCTTGTAAATTTCAGAGGTTTAAAACAAAAAAAAAGGAAGAGGTCTGTTTTTGAACACAGCTTGATGCAAACTCTTACCAGGTCATAATACTTAACCAGGATATAATACTCTGCCCTTTGTTAGGTTAATCCCATTCCTGTTCTCCGTGTGGCAGCCCCAGCAGCTCCAAACTCTGCCTTTAAAAGTGAAAAGGTCTTTCCAAAATCACACCCTTTCGAGAAAGAAGAATCCACCTTTCTTGGAGTTCCTGTAAAATTCCTGAAGTTGACTGCATGGCTTTAGTCACATGCCTGGCTCCTGTCTGGGGATCCTAACAGACTATATCTAACAGGGTAGGAATAGTTTATCCTGGCCGGGCTCGGTGGCTCAGCCTGCAATCCCAGCACTTTGGGAGGCCAAGGCGAGTGGATTGCCTGAGTCCGCGGGTTTGAGACCAACCCCGGGGCAACTTGGCGAGACCCCGTCTCTACAATAAAAATAAAAAATTAGCCGGGTGTGGTAGTGTGTGCCCATAGTTCTGGCTACTTGGAAGACTGAGACGGAAGGATCGCCGGAGCCATAAGCATGCCACTGCACTCCAGCCTGGGCGAGAGTGAGACTCCAACTCAAAAAAAAAAAAATAGAAATAGTTTATCCTTCAAAACACTGGGGTGCTATTAGACTAAGAAGATGGAATGGATGTCCAACAACCCCAAAACAGTTGTCTACTATAAATCGTCTTCACTTTAATTGAATACATGCCAATGACAACTCATGTACACATGTAGAACATAAGCACACTGCCTTCTCTTTGTATAAAGTTCTGATAATTACCTGCTTAGGTTGGGTTTCAGCCCTGGGCACTTCTGAAGCCATTAAAGATCTTAGTTGGAAAGAAGAAAGAATAGAGACAGTATGTCTACAGGGAACTGATTTGAGAAACCCAGGTAAACGAGAGTCAAAAAGCAAGACTGGCGTGGTGGCTCATGCTTTTAATCCCAGCACTTTGGGAGACCGAGGCGAAAGGGTTGCCTGAGTCCAGGGGTTCCAGATCAGCCTGGGCAACTTGGCGAGAAAATAAATAAAAAATTAGCCAGGCATAGTGGCATATGCCTGTGATTCTAGCAGTTACTTGGAAGGTTGAGATGGAAGGATCACCTGAGCCCAGCAAGTTGAAGCAGTGGCTGTGAGTGTGCCACTGCACTCCAGCCTGGGCAACAGAGTGAGACTCCGACTCAGAAAAAAAAAAAGTGTTCAAAACCAAATGATAGCAAAATAAAAATAATTTTTATAACATCTCCTAACAGGCAGTGTTCAAGTCAAAAGTTCAGCTAATAGGCAAATATTCCTAGTATGTGCTTGGTGCCTTCCTTGTTAATCAAGAACCAGAGCCCCATGGTCCAGTGACCTTAGAAATATTGGAAGTGGTAACACCGTGAAAAGCAAGAGAGGTTAAAAACTGCATGTCCTGTAATGGAAACAAACCTATTGGCATTTAGAAATTCCATGCAGTGTTTGGCTGTCCATTTGTTTTAAAATTTCATTTCAGGAAAGTCGGTTCTAAATCTAATGTTATGGAGAAGCTCAAATATTTACACCAGAAAAATAAAAAAAGCACAAGCCCTCCAGCCCAGAGTCTCAACCATTGCCAGGTTACATAATTCTACCTAATATAAGTATGAAGCTCCGTGCATCCTGCTTTCTGCTGGGGAGTTGATGCTTCTGTTTCTCTTGGCTGGAAGTTCACTTGGCCTGAGTCAGATGTCATCCTGATTCTAAG